ATGCAATGGGTGGACCAATGTGAGGTCTGTGCAAGATGCCGTGGAATTCCAGAAGTATTTATGTTTGGCAGGAGGAGAAAAGGTGGTGCTTGAGCTCACTCTTCAAGGAGGAGTAGGGTTTTATCAGACATTGCAGGTGGAGGGAACAGCATGCACAAAGGCCCAGGGGCAATGAGAAGGAATATCATGTTCAGGGAATCATACCTAGTTTGCATTGCCACAACATAAAATGTGAGGAGAGTGTTAGAAGTGAAACTGAAGGGGTGGTACAGGCTAAACATTTCAAAGAGCCCTGAATGCCAGCCTAAGAAGTGTAGATTTTATCTTATGTAGCAGATGGAAAGCCAATGAAAAAAACTCAAACATAATCAGATGTGCATTTTAGAAAGGCCAGCCAGTCAGCAGAGTGAAGAATGGAATGGAAATGGGGCAAACTAGTGACAGTGAGACTATCTGGTGATTGTTTTCACCTGCCTGCTTGGTGTAAGTGTGCTAAAGAGAACCACCTTCCATCAAATAAATATGAATCCTCAAAGCCTGGCAAGAATGAAGGCGTAAAGATATTCTCCAAAGAAACATCTTTTTAAAGAAAAAGACTTCACACTGGGTAAAGATGGCCAATTAATTTGGTAAGACCTGCACATACCTTTTACATACATACTTGTTTTGCTTAATTATACGACTGACACCACCTGAGGACATTTTTGTTACTGTATTAAACAAAAGAAAGACTTTGTAGTATTGTAGAAACAGTATTACCAGGACTCAAGAATTGCCTGTAGTTTAACTTTACACCTTCGTCTTTGTAAGACCTTGGGAAAGTCACTTTACCTCTTTTAGCCTCCATTTCCTCAGTTGTAAAATGAGGAGCACAATGTAAATTATTTGTAATGGCACTTTATTTATATTATTGTATATTGGCAGCTTTGTTTGCACTTATTAATCTCTCCTAATGTTTCTTACTCCATCTTAATGATTTTTTTTTTCTTTTACAATTTTAAGAGGGACAGAAATATTTGGAAGATAACTTTTAGAGGTGTTATGTGGGGTAAAACTCTGTGTTGACTGTACTCCACTTTATACAGTTAGCCTTTCTCCTGGAAAGAGTAAGGGTGTTGGTAGCCATTTTGAAACACTGGACTGCTCACGAGTCACATTTTATCCTTACATGAACAAAAAGACGACCATTTAATCACTTTTAAGGTCTACTAGGCTAATGAATGATTTAGCTCTAATTTTTAGATTATAGATTTTCCTGTCCAAAATGATTCTATCTCTCAAGACAAATAACTGCATGTTCTCAAAAGGCTAGTGTATGGATACAGTTGTGACCCTTAAAATCATAGAAAGTGTGCTGCTTCTAAAAAATAGCCTCCTTATTTTAAATTCTGCATTTCTTTGGAAATATCCTGTTATTTAATTTTTTTTCCACTTAAGGGCCTGTTTACATTAGTAATATATCTTCTAGAGCCCTGGGAGTTTATAGGGTTTGTACCTAGAAAACATCCCAGCACTATTACTATGCTTCAGAGACATACAGGGGTCCCAGGGCAAATCAAAATGTTTTTAAATGTATGACATGTGTGAAGTTGATGAAAATTCATGACCTCTCTGTCAGAGCTGCTTGAGTTTAAGTCATCAGAGAAAGGTGAGTGCAAAGAATTTTATTTAATACTTTTATTCTGGAATCCTTCTCATTCCTTGCTCATGGTCCCAGGTTTTAGCTCTGTTCTACTTAACAGTCTGATTACAAAAATAAAAAATTAGCAGTGTGTTCTAAATTGCTTTTCAGAATTTTCTGCTTAAACCACTGCTCAGATATATAACTTTTAAAGAGGGATTGAAATGTAGTTTGAGAATATAGTCACATACTACAGAACATGCAAAATACATGTGGAAGACCTCACGAGTGCTGGTAATTCAACTGGTTATACTTTATGATTTAGAAATATTTTCAAATTTGTCTTTTAAAATTGAAAAGAAAACATTGCAGGGAAATTCACAAAAATAAAAAATCCCAAAATACTGTGGTTACTGAGATCAGCTGTTTTTAAGTAAAAATCCATTCAAAGCAAAATAAAAGGCATTGTGTGGTGTATGCCGGCTAAAACTGAGAACACAAGAGCATTGCAGTTAATTAGAACCAATCAACAGGATGCTTTGCAACATTTCTCACATCAGTGCACCATCTGATCTTCATAATACACATTTCCCACAGTCTTGATGCAAAAAGGACTGGAAATAAATATTTGACTCATCAAAAATATATGATGCTTTTTAACTGTGCTTTCTAATAATTATTTTCAAGTTACTGTTATGAAAATAAGATCTTGAAAATCTGCAAAGGCTGTTCTATTTGCATTTTAAGGGGGATAATCTTAGTTACCTTTTTTGTTTTGTTTTAATTTTATCTGTACTTGAACCTGAGAAAAATACTGATTTTTAAGAATAATATTTAGGGCATGAATTTGTTTTATTACATGTTTTATATATGGCTGTTGTACTTATGAAAGATAACTGAGCTTTTCTTGGGTAAACCATCATATTATGAATGATTAATTAGTACACTATAAATAATGAAGCACTACATTATAGCTGTTTTCATATTAACAGAACACTGAACTAAATTAACTGCATTAACATCTACATCATAAATGTTTTAAACGAATATGCAGTATTTAACACTATTCTGTTTCTACAATTTATTCAATGCCTGGTTCAACCCAGAAAAGTTTTGCTTTAGTTTCATTTATTATACTCACAAATTGTTCTACTAGGAAAAAATATTGTATAGATTTTGTCATATTTTTGTTAAGTTCATAATTTGTTCCTTATAGACATTTGTTTCCTTTTTTTTCTTCCCTGCATCTTACTTTTTTTTTCTTTTTTTTTCTTTTTTTTTTTTTTTGAGAGTCTTTGTAACCTTGTCTATATATTAAAGGTAGAGCTCCCTCTGGGCCGCTGAAGTGCTTCAAAACAGATTCACAAAACAGTTTGTTAAAAATATGTTTAACTTGAATCAGAAATATATACAACTTGACAATAGTTTGTCATCAAGTTTTGCTTCCTCTTAAAAGCTAATTTATGGATGTCTAGCAGGTATCGTTTTTAGAGACAAAACTAGCTGTGAAACTGTTGCTATTAAAAAGAGAATTATCTTCCAAATGAGTTGATGATCCATTCTTCTAAATTTATAAGGTACAACTTGCTGATGGAAGTAATTTACTCTTCAAACTCTGCAGTCATCTCTTGCCAAAAGAAAATGTTTGTTTATTTCGTTGTGGTCTATATGTTTTCTCCCTTTACATCACACAAGATGTTTTTCTCCTCCCAACCCCCAAAAGCCCATTGCTAAATATTGTCTTTCTTGAACACTCTGGTTTCCGTAGGAAAAAAAAAAATAGTTTCAAGAAACTGTCTTCACGCTAGCAAATAAACTTTGTTCTTTGTCCTTTTCTTTGAACAGATTTGATCTACTTCCATTGCAGGAGGTGTCTCTTAGCTAGGTTCTCTTTAGAAAAGTTACTCTTTCTACTAATTTACAGAGACAGCTTTGATGACAAATACTTTATTTAGAGCACTCATCTTACAAACACAGAAAAAAGCCCATGTTAGGATGTAAATCTTTTTTTTACTAACTAGCCTTTTAAAGGCAATAATATTTGTGTTTATATTTTAAACATTTGATATATTTGCCCATTAGGATTGAAGCATTAGCCCCAAATGTTAACTGCTCCAAAGAAAAGCAGTTTCAACAAATAACCTGAAATTGGCTCTGTTACACCAGTTTGATTTATAGGAATTTAAATAATAATGGCCTAAAATGCATATTACAATAACTCTGCTTATCTATAATATCTTAAGCAAACAATTTAGGTAGAAAAGTCATTTGATAAAGATAATTGGTTCAGGCAAAATAGAACTCACATTCTTCTGCCAGATAATAATTCAGCGGCTATTCTAACTTCAGTAGTGCTTTATTAGACCCAGTTCTCATTCTTCTTAAAGACTTAAGAAAAAAGACACATTCTTTATCTTTAAACAATTATTTTAAAATAAGTAAACAGCAGGAATGGGATAAAACTTCTCTATCAGATTTATTTGCTGTTATTCAATTTCTCAAAAATTTTCTTAGGGGACAGGAATGTCATATGTTTAGTTTCAGGACAAAGGCACCTTTTAAAATGAAGAGCTTAAACAAAATCTATAAAGAAGTTTGCTTAACAGATAGTAGGCTGACTAAGCTTTTAGTTGTTAAAATTATCAAAACCAGGGGGAAAAAACTAACATTTAACGAACTTTAAAACTAATGTGAGGCTAATTTTTAATAAAGAACATCTTTTAAAAATAACAGAAGCAATTATGAACAATTTCTGGAATTCACTTTGGATAACATGTCGAGCAGGCACATTGTTTTACTATTCTTCTGTGATTTTCTTAACTTCCTAATTAAGAAAAATTATGTAACTTCAGAATGTATCCTGCTTAAGGAAACATTTTTATGCAGGATGGTACCCAGTTAAAACAAGACAAGACAAAATCTTAGAGTCAAACAACATTAATTAACTCATTTGGCAATTATGTATTATTGTTGCTATTATTATTTTGTTTGATTAATGACCAAGCTATTAAATAATTCAAATAATTCAGATTTCTAGCTGTGTTATAAAATGTTCTTTTAATAATTTAGCAATTAATTATAAACCCCTTGCATGTGATTCATGAATATTCACTTTTATATCTTGAGACATGTATTTAAATTTTACAGTTTATTAATTGCTTTTAGCTGCATGTTGTATTAAGGTGCAAATAATCTATTGTAAGTTGGTTGAGTTCATTTAAGAGAGTGTTTACATTTAATGTTGCTTTTTAATAGACAGAAATAAAGTTGCTAAATTCAATACAAGGCAATTGTTAATTTGTTAAAGTTGCAAAAATTTTGTTAAAATGTTTTGGCAATAAAAAATTTCATAGATATTAATAAATCTTCACTTTATGACTTTCTATCCTATACACTTTTTAATTGCTTTAAATATATAAATATATTATTTATTTTTAAAGGAATGAGCAAATTAGAATTCCAATTCACTCTAAGGAGACAGAGTTTAAATTTTTCAACAGGATAATTAACTATTTGCTTGGCTTCAATTTATCTGTCTTGTACATACAGCGATTTGACAGAACTGACTAGTGAAAACTAACCAAAGCTAGAAATCAACGGAGAGAATAGTCAAGAATGGAAAAAGGAAGAGTTTCAGGAAATGATATTTTCCCATCAGTGGATAGGCATGCATACATTAAAGGCATAAAAGGCCGTGGGAGGAGAAACAAAAGCTGTAAGCTAAGGATCCTGCAAGTCTGAATTAACTAAATGGGGAAAAAAATGAAATCATTCTGCTTAAACCTGTTCACTAATAAAAGGAGAATCGCTTTTGTTAAATATGCTTGGTGTGATTATCAAGCAAAATTTTTTTCTCCCAGACATCTATGAATAAAACATGCATTTGAGCACTAGGTAAACAAACAATAAATGGATGAGTTCAGTTACAACATAATAACATTTTATTTGGAAAACATATATAATCATATTTGTATTGGCAATCCAAATTTAATGACTTCTTTCAGTAAAATCAAAGTGCCTCACAAATAACATTTAATGCATAAGGATTGTTTACTATTTGCCCATTTTTTTTTCTGTTTTCTCAAATAAACAGATTTTTAAGGTCTCTGCTGAACCATACATAAACTAGGTGAAATGTGATTTTTCAGAAAAGACTTTCTTTTGGATTTTCTTAATTTTAGGTTTTACAGATGCTGTAAAAATAAATTTAAAAACACATTTTTGAGATGGGGAGAAAATGTTTTCAGTCTGTGTAGCCTGGGCTGATTTGAACAAGACTCTGTGTGTAACCATAGTCTTTGGCTTATTAGCCATTTCATCAACATGACATCATCTTCTGCAAAATATGAATGAGGAGAAACCATTTACAATAAGAAAAGCAAACAACAGAATGAATTTCCTCTGTTGGTGTTTTGTGAGACTGTTAAACAGAAAATGGAGGGAAGAACTCTCTTTAGACGATATCACTTAATTAAGTAAAGCATCCTAATCAGAGTCCCCTCCAATTGTAATGACTGTAGGGAGTCAAGTACATTTCTGTCTATATTAGAGTATCTAACTGCAATGATTTATTGATATTTATTTTAGAAGTGCAACACAAAAGCAATAAAACAGAGGAAGCAGGGAGAGAGGGAACATGCCATTGCTTACTACAGTTACAACCAGAACACAACAAACTTCCTGATTTTCATGTGGGAGGTTTTGCTTTCCAAAATCAGAGCCCACCTTTATAAGAGAATGTTCCTTTTCCTCATTTGATTTTTCCAAATGTTCACTGTGGCGTTTCTTTGTCCATTAGATGAATCATTGATTCACTTTCCTCACTGCAAGAATCACTGCAAATGAGTGGATGAGCACCTGCTGTTTTCTGCAGTGACATTACTGGATTGCATTCCACCCTGATTTTAGTCTTAAAATACAGCTTCTCTGTATGAGAGAGAGATTGAGGAAGGAGAGTAAATATACAGTATAGGCAGACAGACATTGGCTGCCCTCCAAGTTGCACACAGCATAAACCTGTTTATCTGCTACATTTCACAAATCTCAAAAACATGTGAATAATCAGGCAAGCAACTGGATAAGTGATTCACACTAGGGAACCTAACCAATATTCTGATGAGAGGATACTATGATGCTAAGATGTTGAGGCAAATAGGCCTGTATTGTAGAAACTGCATATAGTAAAGTTGATTAGTGGTTCAAAGGAGAAAACAATCTGTACTAAAATGAAGTTGAGGCAGTATCCCACCCTGTGGTCTTTGGTTTGTTATATTTATGTGCAAGTTACCTGGATAATTGAGTTTAAAAATATACATTCATTCATACCATTCCAATAATTGGGGTCAGTATACATTGATTGGCCTTCATGTCAGTTGTCAAGGTAATTTATTTCTGGAGACCAAGATCTAAATATTGAGGGCTAGTGCCTTAAAACCCAAATTATACCAACACATCTATTTGAAATTAAATTACCAAACATACTTAGAACCTATTCATTTTGAAGAAGCAACTTTTCTTGGAAGGCTACAGTCAATTTTTATTATTGTAGAAGATGAATTGTCTGAGAATAAGTGAACTAGGCATGTAAGGCTCTTGTTATAGCTACATCACTGCTTTCTCTATTTTTCTCTTTGTTTCTTCCTCATTTGCTGATCATTTAATCTCCCTTTGTCTTATTCCCATGATTATTGTGCTTTAGCATTTAGCTGTGAAGTGGAAGCTCTCAAAGGTTTTGAGGCTAACCCCAAAAGTATACATTGTTTCTGAAAATTTCATGAGGTTGTTTGTGAATTTTGGGCTTAAATCACTTCCATAAACTATATTTGGTTAATTACAGCAAGATGAATTATCAACTTGCTTGATATATCTGTCTATTCGCTTATATGGTAGACCTGTCATCACAGGTCTATACCAGGAAAATGTAGGTTTCTCTACATTTGCAAACCCAAAATACTATTCCAGAAAGAAGAGCAATAATACAACAAGGCAATTGAATAAACATTGCACATCCTACAGCTTTTTTTCCCCCTGCATTGCAGAAAGGCAAATTGCTAAAACTTTTTGATACTAGAAAACTTTGTTAAATTACGGTAACCAAAGACATAATCATCTTAGCAACAGAAAGTCTTGGAGAAGGTAGGTGACCTGGAAATTGATGTTCCAAACAATATTCTGCTACATTTGAGCTTCTTCATTAAAGCTTTGCCTCAAGAGAATGTATGTTGAGTCTACTGCCAATTGCATCTGCCAAATGCTTTTTATTGTCTGAACATTTTCTCATCTTCTTGCTTTTCGTCTCAGGTTCTTTTTATTCAGGATCAGGCACAGAGACTGACTGAATGGCTCCAATTATCAGGATTTGAAAACCCAGTATCAGAATCTACCACTTTGTGTAAGTCTGCCCTGAGCAGTGTTTTCTTTAGTAACAGGACACTTACATAATATGGGATCATCTTTTCTTCTTTACTTCTCTCTGACCTTGTAAAATATGACAAAATTTTTTCATGATTAATAAGTCCACTGCATGGGAGATTTTGCAGGAAATGCAACATAAGAACCAAAAAGCATTCTTTAAAAGATATGTTCAGGTAAGTGACAAATGGAAGTTTATGGGTGGTCAAGGGTGTTACTAAAATTGTTGACAACCTAATCAATAGTCTGAAGACTCAACACATTGATTTTTTAATCATAGAAAATTATACTAGGCTTTCTGTGTGAGTCGGGTTTTGAGTATATGCCCACAAAGCTGAAGTTGGTTCTGTGAACCTCAATTAAGGTCAACCACAGATGTTTTACGCAGCCAAGAAGAACCTTTTAAAAGTTTTTTTTTTTCTTTTTTTTTTTTTAAAGTGATAGCTATTCTGATTAAAAAATCATCACCAGGGGCCAGGTACAGTGACTCACGCCTGTAATCCTAGCACTTTGGTAGGCCAAGGTGGGCAGATCACCTGAGGTCAGGAGTTCAAGACCAGCCTGGCCAGCGAAGTAAAGCCCCATCTCTATTAAAAATACAAAAATTAGCTGGGCATGGTGGCAGGCGCTTGTAATCCCAGCTACTCAGGAGGCTGAGATAGGAGAATTGCTTGAACCCGGGAGGCGGAGGTTGCAGTGAGCGGAGATCGCACCATTGCACTCCAGCCTGGGCAACAAGAGCGAAACTCTGTCTCGGGGGGAAAAAAAGACCAAAAACAATCACTAGAGCTGGGCATAATGACGCATAACTGTAATCTCAAAACTTTAAGAGGCCGAGGCGGGCAAGTCGCTTGAGCCCAGGAGTTCAAGACCAGCTTGGGCAACATAGTATGACCCTTAGCCAGGCATGGTGGCGCACACCTGTAGTCCAGCCACCTGGGAGTCTGAAGTGGGAGGATCTCCTGAGCCTCAGACGTCTAGGTTGCAGCAGGCTGTGATCATGCCACTGCACTGCAGCCTTGGTGACAGAATGAGACCCTGTCTCAAAAAAAAAAAAAAAGAAAATCACCAAATCCTACATAATCTACATACCACAGGAATCTTAGAAATAATATGTGGGCTGCAAGTGAACTTTTTAATTCTCAAAGGCAATACAAAAAGGATATGAAGTTAAAAAAATAAAAAGTTGTTCCTTTCTTTTCCCCTAGTCTCCTCAATCCCATTCCCCAGTGGTGGCCTTAATAGTCTCTCATATATTTTTACCAATTTTTAAAAATTCATATGCAAGCACATCATCTTTTAAATCACAAATAAAATCATACAATATATTTACTATTTTAAGCTTGTTTTTATTCACCTCAGTGTATGTGACTGTTGCTCCATGCCCTACACATGGGTTTATCTCATTCTTCTAGAGCTGCAAAAGATATTACATAATATAGTATTATATATATAACCACTACCATGTTGATAGATATGTAGGTAATTTCTATTTAATTTCTTTGCTTTTACAAATAATACTTCAGCAAATGTATGTATAGTTTTTTTTTGTTCTTCTATAAGTGTACTTGCAGAATCAATTCCTTGAAGTAGAATTGCTAGATAAAAACACATTTACAATTTTTGAATTATATTGCCACATTATTGACATAAGAAGTTGTAACCATTCATTTTTCACTGACAATTTTTGAGAGGTGAGGATTTTGACAAGCACTGAAACGAGTTCTGTGTGTGACACATCTGCCTTCTAGTCCATGTCTTCAAACTTGGCTAAACAGAGTTCAGTGGCAGCTGGGAGGCTTAGTGATTATCTCGTGGAAAGAAAGAATCCTCCTATGGCCTATGTGCTCGGAATAGCAGCTGTGGCTGGGAGGAGCAGCACTGGGATGGGGAGAGAAATAGCTAGGGAAGTATGGCTGCCATCAGTTTAGGACTGGGCTTGAGTTTTCACCAAGGCCACTTCCTAGAAGCCTTCCTGACACGGGTGGGGGCTGAAGAGCAAAACCAGGAGCCATTCCCACAGGCTGTCATGAGAGTGGAGAAGCAGCTACATTAGCACCATCTGCAGCCTCGCTTTCTGCGCACACTGTCCATCTCTGCTCAGATTCTAATCCACGTATGCATTTACCTTTTCTCCATAGCTCATCCTGGCTTTTAGGGAAGTGCTATTCTCAGTCACCTGTGGCTGCTCATCAGCAGGCAGGAGTTCTCTAGGCTTCCTCTCTATTTTACCACTTAGTTTGTCTCTGCGTGATTAACCCAGAAAATTTGCCCGACATTGACCCAGTTCCCTGATTTGAAGAGACAGCCTCATCCTTGAAACTTTGACTCCTTATTCAATACTTTTATCTTTATAAGTCCTGTTTTCATCTTGAAATAGAAACTGGGAAGTGCCTCTTAATCTTCACCTAGATCGCAGCCTTTACGTTGAGGGGTTACTTGAATGTTCTCAGGGTTGCAGTTACACTAGAAGTTTGGTTTGTATTTAGCATTAACATGCTAGGCACTATGGTAGCCCCTGTGGGTGCAAAAATGCATAAAACACAGTTCATGCCTTCAGAAGTGTATACCATAGTGAGGAGGAAGCACTAACAAACGCAAGCCACTCTGAGAAGCGTTAGAACAGAGGTATTTAATTAAAAAATTCTATGAAGTCTCAATTCTGGAAATTTATCCTACAGACATACAAAAGGACTTATAGACAAGTTGTTCACTGCAGCATTGCATGTTATGTGAAGAGGTAAGAAACACCCTGTCAACAAGGACATTTTATGAGTCCTATATACTGACATGGAGTGATCTTTGGGTTATATTTTGTATGAGCAATCAAGCTGCAGAAGATGTATGGTATATGTTGCTTTTTGTGTAAGAAATCTAGGAAATAAAAATATGCATTAATGCTTGTATATACATAAAAACATTGGAAGAGCCCGGAGGAACACAGGGCAAGTGTTAACCTATAGGGGGCATCAGGGATTAGTGGGGTGGATAGGAAAAGGGAACATAATACAGCTTTTCAATGTATATGTTTTAATGTCATTTTAATTCTTGGGCCATGTGATTGTGTTATCTAGTCAAAAATAGCATATTCAAAACTTACATAGTAAAATAAGATTTCCCCCTCTTCAACCTCTGCATTTCCCGAGGTGTTTGGAAGTGCTTGGCTACATTTATCTGGGATAAAGAACATTACATGGGACTGGACAAGGGAGGCTCCGAACAGGATAAAGAAATTTTCTTAGAGTCCACTGAATTTTTCTTACCACATTCATAAATCCACTATCTCATGGAGATGATTTTGAGCAGAGCTAGGAGAAAGAATAGATATTCTTCACAAAATTCTGAGAGATGGAATTTCTGGGTTTTTGTTTTGTTTTGTTTGAGACAGAGTCTCCCTCTTGTCACCTGGGCTGGAGTGCAGTGGTGCGATCTCAGTTCACTGCAACCTCTGCCTGCTGGATTCACGTGATTCTCCTGCCTCAGCCTCCCAAGTAGCTGGGACTACAGGCATGTGCCACCTCACCTGGCTAATTTTTTGTTTTGTTTTGTTTTTTGGTATTTTTAGTAGAGATGGGGTATTGCCATGCTGGCCAGACTGGTCTCGAACTCCTGACTTCAGATGATCTGCCTACCTCGGCCTCCCAAAGTGTTGGGATTACAGGCGTGAGCCATGGCACCCAGCCTGAAATTTCTTATAAACAGGACACATGTAAGATATGGGAATAATTTCGGATGTTTCATTTTTTTAGCATCCTATAGGCAAGGCTGTGAGAGTGGCCACTTCAGGTTTCCCATGATGATGTGGTAGGAAAGGCATGATTTACCCATACCTTGAGTTGACCTGCTTAAGTCATGAGGTTGAGCAATGTGAAACTTTTCTTCCTAAAGCTTTAAATAGGCTGGGCATGGTGGCTCGCACCTGTAATTCCAGCACTTTGGGAAGCCAAGGTGGGAGAATCACTTGAGCCCAGGAATTAGAGACCAGCCTGGGCAACAAAGTAAGACCCTGTTTCTACAAGAAATCAAAACATTAGTGGGGCGTGGGGGCATGCGTCTGTAGTTCTAGTTATACGGGAGGTGGAGGCAGGAGGATTGTTTGAGCCCAGGAGGTGGAGTCTGCAGTGAGCCATGACCGGGCCACTGCACTCCAGCCTGGGTAATAGAGCAAGACCCTGTCATACACACACAAAAAGCTTTAAATAAAGGTCTCATGCTGATCAATGAATAAGAGAAATTGGCTGCCTTACCAAGTAAATGCCTCTTTTATTTAACAAAGATGTGTCCCATAAATTTTCTAGAACATCACATTAAAGTGATTTATAGAAAGGTTGTGGGATAGAATTAGATCTTGAGAATTCTCTGGTCTCTTCCATAAAGTGAAATCAGGAAGTTTTGAAAGAAGGTGGTAGATAATAAATAATTTGTGAGGAAAAATGTTTATGATGATTTCATGACTATAATGTTAGAAGACTGTTAAAGAGTGATATAATCATCACAGGAGCCACACAAGGACATAAAAGGCCCTTGGTAGATGAGGAGGACTTTACTTCCCCGTACATCTCTGCACCAAAGCTCATTACTACTATGACTTCCCTGACTTTCCAGTTCATTTTAGTCCTTTTTGGCCATAAGACTATACCTAGGTGATAAGCTCTGGTTACCCAGGAAGCATGGGGGTAGGTGAGCATGAAGTGGTGATTCCCTGCCTTCCATTCACCAGTTTCTCTCATTGCTTCCCTCATCCCCCACAAATTTCATCTCTCAGCTGGTCTCAAATCAGTCCTGTGACAAGAGTCTGAAATCCTAGTGATTTAGGAATGAGGCTTTCAGATATGATAAAGTGACCACATAACATATCTAGCCTACACCTAGTATCAGTTTCTTTTTTGAAGTACTAGTGAGTCATTTTATTTTTTATGTGATTATCACACAAATGTGAACATGTTAAGCAAGTTATTGCTAGCAATCAGGACCGCTTGT